GTCTCCCTAGGCCCAGTCCTGATGGTAAGACTGTGGGAGCATCAGTGAAAGAGCTGGTGTGCTTGAAGAGCATGGGTAGATGGCTCGGGGTTCCCCAAGGTGGACACGCTGCTCCTCTCCCACTGGCATGGGAATAAGCCAGATGGAGAAGGAGTTTGGACTTCCTGAAGAGAAGGAGGATGTGGGACTCTGTTCTGCATCTCCAGAGAGACCTCTGTGCTCTGGCATAGGTCCTGCATCACTGCCCTCCAGCCACAGCTCCACGCTCTCAAGGGGAAACCATCCCAGGGGCTTCTCCTGGAGTTGTCACTAATTAAGTGGGACAGTCAGCTAAAGGTGCCTAAACTAAACATGACAGTACTGCTGCTTTGGTAAATGTCACCCACCACTCATTTGAGGCTGAAGGACTCCTCCACTTGTGTTCTCCATCCCTCCTCCTTCTCTTCTCCCTCACCTCTGCCAAAATGTACTTGAAGCAAGCGTGTGTTGCTTCTGCTGCAACAGCATTAAGCCTTAATCTGCTACAGCAGACTTCAATGGCTATTGCTTTATAAGCCTTGGGCTTAGTCTGGAGAAAGTCTGACACTGCTGCACAAGCTTCCCTGGTGCTTGGAAGGCACCCAGAAAACGTGATACTATCACAGAAGAAAAATAACATTTAACAGCAGAGCAATTTCCAATTAAATTGCATTTTCCTTCCACCCGTGCCACCAGAATGCTAAACCTGAGTTTCCAGACACATTCCCTCAGCAGTACTATGGGGAAGAAGTAATTGTGAGCATGATTACTGGAACAGGCAGACAAACCAGTAATTATTTCTTCACAGTAGCGTAAGATTTAAATGCAAAAGATTAAAGCTATGAGCTTTAATCTAACTGAACACAATCCCTTTTAAACAGCCTATGTTAGACCTGAAACTCAATGTATGTCTGTGTGGTCACAACACTGCAAAGATTGTCCAGATGCTCTAAAATGAGAAGGGACATGTAGAGCCACTGCCTTCTTGTAGGTTCACACATCACAACTGTTGCTTTTCAACATCATGTTCCTTGGGTTTGCTTAATGGCTCATACCCTTGTTTCTAACCCCAGCAGCAATTCCAGAATACAAGAGAACTTCAAGAGCTGCCTCATTTCCATCACGCTTTGGGGGATGAAACAAACAGACCAACATCCAATCTCTGATCTATAGTTTACCAAGTTTTCCAGATATTCCCATGCTCAAGGTCAGGAATTCATCCTTTTAAAAACACGACTTAATCCTCCCCAAAGTCTCCACTCAACTAGAGAAACTCCTGGTGACTTGGCAGCAGCAGCTCTCAGCAGCCCTACACAGGAACACTGTTGTACCTACAGGTCACAGTACACGGTGACAGCCAGGATAGATCCAGGTACCTGTAGGCACATACAGGCGGCCGTGCGACTGTCCCCTGTGCAAGGCTCACCCTGTCCCACGGGTGTGACTCGGAGCTCCACGGCCACCACGTGTGGTCTCCTCTCATCTTTGGTGTCACGCTGCACAACCCTCACGCTTCAGCTCCTCCTCAGAAAGCTGAAGGGAATTTTTATCCTTTGCCACTTAGAGAATCACAGAATTGTTTTGGTTGGAAGAGACCTTTGACATCAAGTTTAACCATAACCCCAGCACTGCCAGGTCCCCACTGCCCCGTGTCCCTCACACCACATCTCCACGGCTTGGAAACCCCTCCAGGGGTGGGGACTCCACCACTGCCCTGGGCCGCCCTCAAGGTGACGAAATTGTTCCTCAGCTCCAACCTCAACCTCCCCTGGTGCAACTTGAGGCCATTTCCTCTCATCCTATCACTTGTTACTTGGGAGAAACGTAAAAGGTTTCAGAACCTCAGCGGACCACTGAGGACCTTCTGCAGATCATCTCCCTCCCTCGTGTGCAGGTCCCTGATGAACCTACAGATGCTGGTTGTGTCCTTTCCCAGACTGCATTTGGCTTGGCTTGTGTCATGCTCCACTGGTCTCCTTCTGCACAACCACCTCCACTTTCTCCACCCTCCTCTGGCAGCACTACTCCAGGGACACAAGGTCAGACGATGGGGATGCACCCCAGTCTCTGCTGGGAGCAGTCTGACTGACAGGACATTTCAGAGCATATTTTCTCTTCACCTGATTTCTGTTTCTTCCCAATCCTCAGCCTGGTGCACCACCAGCAGAGGGGGACAACGATTCAGCCTTCCTGCCAAGGGTTCCAACCACAAAATTAGTGATTTCAGGGGGGCACAGGCACAAAATCAAAACCAGGCACCTGCAGTTGCCAAAACTCACACCTAATTTCTTCGGATGAGGTCAGCAAACTGATCTGGCCCTGTGGAAAGTCTTTTTTTTTTCCTCATACACAGATGAAGGCCTCACAAAATGCTATCAGAAAGACGAAAAATTAAAAAATAGGGAGAGGGAATTCTAAAAGGCAGGTAGTTAAAAATGAGTTTGTGTCTGGCTTGGCTATTAAACTATTAAGACAATGGAAATTTTGGGAAAGAGGAATATTTGGTAAAAACTCAAGTTCATGCCTGTAACTTGCCATGGTCAAGATCCTCTTTGTGCTAGTGGTTTATGCCCAATAGTCTCCAGCATTTTAAGGAAAAAAAAAAACAAAATTACAACATTGTTAAATAACCCCTTTAGACCTCTGTATTCCTCAAAAACCAAAGGAAGAAAAGGTGGAGGCATAAATTAAATACTTTAGAAACTATTTGCATATGATCGTTGAAGCAAAGTCCAAAGCTGGAAGACCTCCTTCAGGGGCAAAAGTCCCTAAAATGTGAGGAGAGGAAAATCCCAGACAAAATCTGACCAAACCACAACCTGGTTTGAAGCACCATTTGCAAGCTCTTCCTCTTTTTTTAACTCCTCTCAGCCCATTTAATTTCTGGTTAAAGGTTCAGCGCATGAATCCTCTCTGCCCATGTCTTCTTCTGACTTGCGGATCTTCTTGCTATGTTAAACCCAAATCTCAACACTCCCAGTTGCTAATAACCAGTCGTATGAGATGAATTATAATATCTAATATCAGTGTTCTTTTCTGAGGATGCTGCTTCACAGTCATACTGAAGAAAAAAAGGCTTTTGAAGTATTATTTTTGGCAATTCAAGAACTCACATGCTATGGGGCAGAATGAGGTTGTCTTTTAAACTGCATTTGGGTCCTTTCTGTGCATATCCAATATTTCATCCTTTTTATGTATGTGATCACATGCTATTTTTTCTCCCCCCTCACAGGGTTCTTTCACTGAATATAAAATCCAGCCTTTATTTTATTTTAGTCTTTTCTTCAGAGTGATCTCCCCACACCCTGTTTACTCCTGCCCCAGACCCAGAATTACTAATCCCCCTTGGGTTTTTCTATAGTATTCATTCTGCGATATGACTGATCTGTGTTGTAAAACTTCATTTTAAATCTGGGGCTGAGAGAGCAAATAATGGAAATTTTCAGCAAAAAAAAAAAACTAACAAACACACCGAGTTCTTCAGAACTGCAAACCAGGGTGGCCTCCAACGGGGGATGTCAGCCAGACTTCTTCATCTGCACCCTTATATTGACTTCCATACTTCCATTTTTAGCAATCTAACTCCAAAAAATCTAAGTCCAAAAAAGCAGAGGAGGTAGCCTGGTGTCCCGTGCACTGTCTGCTTCAGACCTGACCCAAGGCTTGAGGAACCCACTCGACTGGGTTGTGCCATCAGACCCAGCTCGTTTCCTCTGCTCTTCCAAGAGAGCTTCTGCTACTTCTCTGAATTTTGTGACGTGTCACCTACGTGGGAAGAAGATTTTCAGCTCGCTCAGAAAGCTGCGTGTTCATTTACCACCTTTGTTGTCTTGTCTGTGATGGCTGTTGGAGAGGCACAGCATCACATTTTCCTGTTATTAGCTGATCTTTCCAGCCTGATGTTCCTTTGGATACGGACTGGGCTTCTATGAGAGGAATGGGGACCATCAATTTTTATAGTTTGCTTCATGAATCTGTACTTAATCCTTCCTCGTTCACAATTTCTGTGTAACAACTTTAAATGATACAGTTCTTGAGAAGTTTACAAGCTGTCACTACATCCTTGTACAGTCAATGCTTATCACTTGTCAGCTAAAGCAGCATCAATCTCCTTGGAGGCCAATATATTCACTTATCAAGCTTAGAATCAGAGAATGGTTTGGGTAGAAGGGACCTTCAAGATCATCTGGTTCCAGCCCCCTGCCATGGGCAGGGACACCTCCCACTAGAGCAGGTTGCTCCAAGCCCCATCCAACCTGGCCTTGAACACCTCCAGGGATGGAGCATCCACAGCTTCCCTGGGCAACCTGGGCCAGTGTCTCACCACCCTCACAGTGAAGAACTTCTTCCTAATTTCTAACCTAAATCTGCTCTCGTCCAGTTTGAGCCCATAACCCCTCCAAGTCATCATGGAAAGCTAGCAAACAATGACATGGTTTTTACATAATTACCATGTAGCAAACACTCCAAAACCTATTACACACAAACCAGAGCAAAGTTCTTTTACTTTTTTCTTTTTTTTTTCCCACAAGCCAACCATCAAAAAAAGAGCTTTATTTTGATGACTGATGCTAATGGGACTGAAGGGGGATTCCAACCTTGGAGAGATTTACATGGACAACCTGTTTTCACTCCTGCCTGGGACAGAGCACTAATGATCCTGTTCCTTCCTTTACGTTCTCCTCCAGGCTGCTCACCTACACCCCTGCACCAGCACGCAGCTAGCAGCCTGCACCTCTCAGATGGGATGGAAGTTGACTGGCAAAGAGCCACGTCATCTTCCCAGCAATGAAGCAGATCTTCAGGAAACACAGCCTCTTCCTGGTGGCACTGCACTGATTGAAGGGGTTTCCTGAAGTCTGCTTCAGACGTGTGGAAAAACAGCCCGAGTGGCAAAGACCTCCAAACCCACGGGTTTTTGGCAGGGAAAGTGTTAAGGGTGTGCAAAGCTTGTTCCTTCTGGGCTTACCTGGCAAGCGATCCTCATCGGGTCACTACAACTGGATGTGGCAAGACTACACGTGCTCTTCATGCCCCAGTTAAAAGCTACAACTTCAGTGAAAGCCAGTATTACATGCCTCACAACTGGGGCAGAGAGTGAACCCAGGGTCAGGTTCATCAGCTCTGCTAACACACAGTAGCTCCTTCAGCTCAAGAGGCTTCGGTTGCGCGCCCAAGCCAGAAGTCAGCACAGCACTTAGGTCTACAAGGAGGTGCTGAAGCTGATAAAATGGCTCCACCTTCACCTCTCACAAGAGAGTTCCATGCTGTAGTCGTTGCACAGATCCAGCAGAAAGGCAGGGGTGGAAACAAACATAGAAAGAATGGAAGAAAAACCACTACAACCCACGCGACGCTCTCTGCCAACTGGAAGACTACCATCTGGTCAGGACCTGCTGGGGTTTAGGAGCACAAGGAGGATCCGTTGTCCAACACTGTGATAGTGCTTCTACAAAGCTTCAACGCCCACCTTCCCCCTCCACAAAACAACCTAGTAATTCAAGGTCCCTGAATATTTAGGAACTACCCACAGTTTTCCTAAGCAAGAAAAGCCACCAGGAGGGAGATGAAGCACTTGCATCATCCATGTCTTGCAGATGAAGGTCTGTAACTTTGTAACTGGACTAGAGCAAGAAAGGTTACTTCATCCTGCTCTCCAAAGCCTTAAAATCTCAGGTGTCACCATGCTCAAACGTTTGATGAAGAAGCCCGATGTCTGGGGACTTACTAAGCATCTACAGGCTCTCCTCCAAGTTCTCCTCACAAGCCAAGTGTTTTATAAGCCACAGTCCATCCCATCTCCACCTTATTCACTTAACTGACCTCATTTGCTCAGCAATCTGTGCATACGGAGAAGAGATGAACACCAGGTCCCAGACATGCCATCCTGCCACCCCACTGTTCCACGGGGTAGTTACTTCAGCTGAGAAACCACCCTTCAGGTGCCCTGACCATCTCCACGACCCAGTGGTGCTTCCCAAAGAGGGTATTCTACATTTGACTTGCTTTGAAGGAAAAAGCAGGTTTAAATCTGTTACGACAGCACCCGGATTTCCGATGGTGTCGGAATATCTTTCGTAAGAAACAAACCAAAACAAGCAAACAGCTGATGTCTAGCAAAGCTGAGAAGACACAAGAAACATCATCAGCATGTCTCTTCTGCAAATGAGTAGAGGAGAAAGAGAAATTAAACGATTTGCCCACTTACCCAGGAAATGAGTACCAGCACTGGTAACCAGCCCAGGTCTCCCACGTCCCACTCTGCAGCTTTTAACGTGAGAGGCAGACTTAGAAGCAACAGTTCCCCCAAATACCAACGGCCCGAGTGGGTGGATTTCACACACGCTGCAGCTCTTGAGTATGCAAAAACGTGCAAAGGGGCTGGGACTCCTGAGTGACCACAGAGCTGCTGCAAAGCTCCCCTCCTTGGAGACTCACCGGCTGGTCACCGACCACGCTCGCGAGGCTGCAAGAGCAGCAGCCACACACGGTCATTTCCCTCCACTTCAGCCCTGCAGCCACTTCCTTGAGCGCAGCTACAGATGTTCTGAACCTTTTCTCGTTTTGAAATCCTATCATGAAATGGAAACTCTTGTTCCAGTTCTCTCCACCCCCTGCTTCCTCCTCCCCGGGGGTGGGCAGCACCGACTCCACGGGCTGCACGTGACGAGGGTGGCAGCAAAGAGGGACCGCAAGGGAGGCCCCACGCTCCCTCCTCATCCTCATCCCTCTGAGGTCACCCGGCCTCACAGAAGGGATGAGTGAAAGAGGAGGTTTAGTGACAAGATTTCCTTCACCCCAGAGGTGGAACTTGCCCAGAACCACCTTGCACTAGGGCTGAGCTGCACAGAAGAGCACTGGCACCCCAGTGCCTCCCAGGGAGCAGGAACTACAGATGGTGAAGAGCAACCTCAAGCTGACCACAGCAACTCTCCGAAGAACAAACTGAAATATTGGCACCTCTTTGGGTTCTACCCAAACAAGTGTCACTAACTTGTTGCCATGAACACTTAAATCACTCAAGAAAGGCCTCCAGGAGTTCTGTCGATGCGGTCAACATCTACTCTGCCTATGGCAAGACACTTGAATCCCCTACACTGTTTTGTTCACAAAGATTTTTGGTAGTCGAAGGCTTCCTGTGGTGGCTTTGCACTTTGGTAAGTGTTTTTTGATGGTTTGCCTTCTTCTATTTCTTTTTTTTTTTAATGTGGTGAGAAGACATTGTTAAAGTTCACTCTTCAGGGCTCACCATTTAAAACAAGCCATAAACAAAAGCAAACAAAACTTTACCAGTTATCTTTGCCTTTCTCTTCAGAGCAAACCACCAACAAAGAAATCCTCTAACCATAAAACATTCTTCCTATAATGGAGTTGCAAAACCATAACATTTCACAGCAAACTTGGGATTTGCTATCGAAAGCAAGAGTAATTTGATCTGTAAAGTCTCTTAGCCCTCTCTGTGTTCTCATTTTTAAGTTGAAATCAAGCTGCTGTAATACGGGCAGAATCATAAAGGTCTCTTCCAACCAAAACAAATCTAAGATTTAAGTCCAACTGCTCCCCAGCACTGCCAGGTCCCCACTGCCCCGTGTCCCTCACCCCACATCTCCACGGCTTGGAAACCCCTCCAGGGGTGGGGACTCCACCACTGCCCTGGGCAGCCTGGCACAGCCCTGGGCAACCCTCCAGGGCAAGAAATTGTTCCTCAGGGACAACCTCAACCTCCCCTGGGGCAACTTGAGGCCGTTTGCTCTTGTCCTGTCCCTTGTCCCTTGGGAGCAGAGCCCGCCCCCCCCCTGGCTCCAGGCTCCTGTCAGGAGCTGTGCAGAGCCAGAAGGTCTCCCCTGAGCCTCCTTTGCTCCAGGCTCAGCACCCCCAGCTCCCTCAGCTGCTCCTCCCCACACTTGGGCTCTAGACCCTTCCCCAGCAGCTCTGTTGCCCTTCTCTGGCCAAGGTCCTTCTTGGAGTGAGTGGCCCATAACTGACCCCAGGACTGTATGGGTGGTTGCCCGAGTTGGAGCACTGTATGCAACTGTGGCTGGAGAAGGCATGACTAGATGGTATAAAAACAGTCTCAGGGTTAAAGATAATGTCTCTGCTAAAGCCCTTTCTGTTAGATACTGCATATACTTTTTTTATATATATATTTCTGACACAATAAAGCAAAAAGGTGAGATCTGCAGTGCAGAAATCTTGGTAAAGCAGCAGGTGCTGTGCTGCAGAGGAGGTGCCAATTGTAGCTGTGTGGTCCCACCAGCCACCACGCCAAACCATCCTCCAAGGCCATCCCACACAGTAAAACACAAGAGGAATGGAGCAACAAGGGAAATTTAATTGGGATTTTAGATGTGACCACAGTTCTCTCTGGTCTTCCCGACAGGGCTCCAGGTCAAACCAGCTGGGCAAAAAACTTTGAGGCACAGCCTTACATGCAGCCACCAAAGAAGACACCAAGCTCTTCATCCTTCTCACCTAACTCCTCCAGCAGCAGCACACCTTTCTTTCAGTCAGCTCAGCTTAAACACACAGATTATCAGTGTGTGACTACACTGCAACCAGCACAACCACTGAAACTTAGGCAGAACATGCGTCAGCAACAAGGAAGAACTTCTAGGTGGCACATCTGTCTTTCAGGCAGAACCTAATTCCTGGAAAACCTGCCACCCATCAGAGCAAAACCCAGCACGAGGAAGAAACAGAACTTAGCTTCAGTTTTTCTCTCCCCTTCCTGTCTTTCAGCACCTGCCTCAGGGAAGAATTTGGTAACTCCAGCTAACTGATAGCACTCACTGGATCTTCCTCCACTGAGGTCTCAAGGTGACTCCAGCTGGTCTTTCTCCACAGTGTGAAGCTCTGTTACTGTCAAAACCAAAACCCAAACAAACCCTCAACTCTTGACTGTGCTTCCAGGTCTAGAAAGCTAGAAAAGCCAATCTGACAAGGAGTATGACATCTTCCTCAGCCAGATACCAGCTTCATTGTGTGATTTCTGCCACATCATGCACACCACCACCTAGATTTGACTGCAGCTCTCCTCTCCATGACCACAAGCACTGACTCCAGCTTTCCCTGCCCATCCCACTGGCCCCCCTGTGCCACCAGATACTGTCCCACACCACGCAGGCCACCACAGCATCCTGGGCAGGGAGCTACCAGTACCTCAGTCCTTGGGGAAACAGCTCCTTCAAATCACTGGATCATTTTTTGTTGCTTGTGAGAGAATTTAGACGCAGATGTTCTCGTGCAAGACAGTTGCCATGGTAAGCCACAGCCACCTGAGACCCATCTGCAGAAAGAAAGGAGCTCTGCAGTAGCTATGCCAATACCACCCAGAGCTCTGCAAATCAAATACACTGACCTCCAACTAAAATCTATTTGCTGGGAAACTAATGAAGGAGAGTTACACCAAGGCAACATTTCAACCTTCTCTTACTGTCCCTGTTCATGACTTTATTTTGAAGAAGTTTTTGCTTTCTCAGACACTGGGCTTCCTTCTTCTCACAACAGCAAACAGCAGGCACCATGTCTGGAAATCAGAGGTGTGCTGTGCTCACCAGGGCTAAAGCAGTTGACAAATTGAGGGTAAATGTTCCAACCATGGTAGATGTAGCAAGGAAGAGCTACCACTTAAAAACTGAAAGCATTCAGGCTCATTAAAGCTGCAGTAAACAAATGAACAGGACCTGTTTGGCTCAGCTACCCACCCTTTGGTGGGTTTTTAGTTTGGCTCAAGAGAAACCTCACCGAAGAGAAATTCAAGGGGTTGCACCAGGGATGGCTGTTCAGGAGGTGTCAGTGAGGGTCAAGGCAGCCCTGACATCCACTTTCTCCCTGAAAAAACAGAGCTGCACCACTCCATTAAACACACTAAAGGCATTTAAATGTGCAACATTCAGTGTACAACATTAAACATATTTACAGGACACTTCCCACTGGCTCCCACCAGCATGATGGAGACCAGAAGGAAGATGAGTCCCCAGGAAGGAAAACCAAAGTCAAGTTCTGACATTGCTATTTGAAGCTTATTGTATTTTTTTTTTAGCTTTCAATTAATTGAAGCAACTACTTCTTGACAGCCCAGTATGTATCCACGGGCATGCTCATACCTGTGTGTACTTATCCAAGTGTGTCTATGACTGGAGATGAGAGAGATTTACTGCCACTGAGACATAATTCTTAATACCAGTGGGAAATACAGTTGTTCATTGCCCATCTGTTGGGATAAACACACACAGCAATTACTTTTTATATTGCCTAAGCACCAGAGTGCACCTGTACGAATGGTTAGCTGCAAACACTTTTATCCCCATTAGTCAGAGGAAGGAACTGTGACTAGTTAATTGGTTTGTCTGAATTAAAATGAGACATAACACTGAAGTCTCTCATCTAGGTCCAGTCAGTCCACTTTACAGACTTCTTTTTTTGGCTTATTTTCTGCTCTCCTCACCATTTCCCAAAGGTCAGAGCTTCTCAGGGCAGGCAGTGGGTCAGCCCACCTGCAAGGACTGCTGTGCTACATGCTGCAGCCTTATCACCAAGGATGCAAAAGCTGGATGAGCAGATGGACTCTCCTCCACCATAGACTTTGGTTGCTTACAGTTACTTCCATATTCTCAGGCTTCAACGAATCCTTACAGTCCTAGTGACAGGATATGGGCTAATAGGTTTAAACTGGAAGAGGGGAGATTTAGATTAGATGTAAGGAAGGAGTTCTTCCCTGTGAGGGTGGTGAGACCCTGGCCCAGGTTGCCCAGGGAAGCTGTGGATGCTCCATCCCTGGAGGTGTTCAAGGCCAGGCTGGATGGGGCTTGGAGCAACCTGCTCCAGTGGGAGGTGTCCCTGCCCATGGCAGGGGGTTGGAACTGGATGATATTTAAGGTCCCTTCCAACCCAAACCATTCTAGGATTCTATATTGCCTGCCTTACTTTAGAAAGTAATCATAAAATGAGCTGTAAAGGTGATAAAGAAATGACACAGTACAGATCTCACCCTAAATCCTTTCCTTCCGATCCCGACTGCGACAGACTGAAGAAAAAAAATTTCATCCTATTTCACAGCTGCACGCTCCTTTCTTCCTAAAAATCATCAAGTACGAGTAAATTGGCAGAACTCACTTGAAACAAAGGAAGCCAACTGGGGGGAAAGCCAAATGAAGCTACTTAAAAAGTTGTCTGAGGAGACAAGTCGAGCTCTGCCAAGTGCCAAGGACCTTTGTGCCTCCCCTTCTCCAGCGACTGCAAAGCAGCGCCCCAGCTGTGGTGGCTCCTCCTCCACTGCTCTGGCCTGGGGCCAACCCTACAGATGGTGCCTGCTGCTTCTACACTTACATGCTCACAGACATCATCAGCTGCTCCTCTCAGTGCCAACGTGGTGCCAATCACCTCCCAGATGCCACTGTGTCCTACAAGAGCACACATGCCCCGTGGTTTCGGAGTGATGCTCCCACAGGAGTTCAGGATACAGGACAGCTCTGACATTAGGAAGGCCAGGCTGCAAACTGCTGCAGTTAAGTCTTATCTGTTTTTTTTAAAGGAAGGACACCCTGATACTCTTCTAGTATCAGTTTTATCTCCTGAGACAACTAAACTAACTGACAATTTTGCATTGAAGCACGGGCAGACCTTGCCACAAGCAGCTTGTTCTGCAGCAACACAGAGCTGGGCAGGAACCCGTAAATCCAGTCCACTCCTCCACCACCATCTATTAACACAGCCATTATCACCTC